CTTATGCTGCTTAATTAAACATTTCCAAAATTTTAATTTGAAATATTTTTTTTTCGTAAAAAATCAACAAGTTGAAGTTGACTTAAAATTCGACCTAAAAATGTGTGTCTTGATATGAGAAGGAACTTAACATTCACTTTTTTAATAGCTACAGCGATGTAAGGGTTGAGCAGGTGAGGAGGATGAGTTGAAGGAAGATTCTCATGAATGTGTTCTTGTAAGAGGTAGAAATTTACATAATTTTTAATTTGAAAATTGCTGCAAGCATTTATATCAGGTACAATACATACATTACATGTAAGTACATCCATTCCAAGCATGCATCATCCTCATCATCATCATCATCATGTAGCTGCTATAATAATATTTTAAAATATTTGAAAGTAATATGGGTTCTCTCTCTTAATATATTATATGTATGGATGTACATGCTGATAACAATGAGAACTGTAACATTTAGACATCAATTTCCATCAACATCCAACTCGTCTCAAAAGTATTTTTTTGCTGTACAACTTCTTATTCTTGTTCCATATCCATCATAGTTATAGTCAATATCAAAAGTTTTGTGTCTCCCTCAGCCTCATCTCACAAGTCAATTGGATATACCAAAAACTACAGAAAACATAACAAAAGCTGAACAAAGCAAAACATAGAAATTTTCCTTCCTTAACTTACAAAATTGAACTTTTCGTCTCATTCCATTGTTATTTTATATATCATATCCTCAATGGAAGTAACAAAAATATAGGTAGATAGGTACATTGGACATAGATGGATGTACTTTCATTTAAAAATAAACAAACATTTGCCTTACTTTTTACAATGAGAGGAGTTCCTTGGTCATCAACATGATTTTGACAAAACTTTACCTCATTCCTTATTCCTTGTTCTTCATCCATGAATGCAAACATGCATGCTTGTTATGAAGTTTGTCTATTTTTTGTGTCTGTTGAAAGTTTCTCATGAATTTTTTTTTGTTTTTATTTTGAGATGAATGAAAAATTTGCAATTTTGGATGTTGGATTTACCTGAGGATGTTCATCATGTTCACTTCCTTTTCTTCTTTATATATTGCTCTTTTGCATCATTTTGTGGTCTTATTAGGAACATTGGAGGATAGATTAGAGTTATTTAGAATGACGTTAGACATCTGAATGATTTTTAAGGAATTAAAAACTGTTTGTCTTGAAAGGAAGCTTGTTTAGGTTGAGGATCATAATGGTTGAGGATCAAAGAAGTATGGCATTAAGGTCTGCACATGTGGCTGCACTATCATTTGATCCAAATGTCCATAAAAATTCATCAAAAGCTAAAGCTTCAATCAGAAACATTCAGAACCCTCAAAAGTTGCATACATTCATTTAAATCTTTTGTTTTCCTGGCTTCTTTGTTTTGTCACAAAACCTCCAAGAACCTTTCTTTTATCATTTTATAAACAAACTTCCAGTAACTGAAAAATTCACAAAAAATCAAGGAAATGCAGAAACTCAAAGACCCTTGAACTTGATTTAAAAATAAATTCAGCATCAACAGAATGTAATTTGTTTATTATCATTCCACATAAATCATTAGCTTCATCTTCTTCTGTTTTCACTCCGCTGCTGTGTTTATTGTTTTCATTGCGCTCAGTCAACTGTTTTGTTGTTGCTACTGTTCAGTCTCACTCCAATGTTTATTGTTGACTGTCGAGATAAAGAAGGCAAATTTGTGAATTTCAAAATAAATATTCATGCTGTGGATCAAGAAGAGAGGCTACTGACGACGATGTCAACGACGAATGTTAGGAAACTGTTTATGTGTGGATGGAATCGAATGAATGGAACTGAAATGGAGTAAAGAATGAGAGAGAAAATAAGGAAGGGAAGAAAAGAAAGAAAATAGCCGGAGGACATGAAATATACAGCATAAGAATATGCGAGGCGAGGAGAGCCATAAAAATGTAAAAGTGACACAAAATAAAACACCAATTGAAAAATATTTCATGCTCGATTTATGTATGGATATAATATTTATATGCAGTCACGACTTTTAGTCTCTGTCTCTTTGTTTTCTTTACAATAATGAGTACAATAATAATAAAAAGCGATGATCAACTCCCACACACATGTAATTTCAACAGCTAATGACGGCTATGCATACCCACAATATTTCAAACTCATAATTTTAACTTAAATGTCTCAAAATGTCACTGACAAAAAATAAGTTTATTGAAATTTTTTCGTTCAATAAAATCAGATCATTATATTAGGCTGTATTCATATCCAAGGTCCATAATGTGAATTGTTAAACATTAAGGAAATTTAATATTTATCTCATTATAAACAGCCGTAAGCTATGAAATTTAACTTAACAGCATAAAAGTAATGTCAGATTTTTTTTTGTTTTATTTTATTTAATTTTTTTTTGTTTCGAGAAGAGAAGAACAACGGACACTGATTGAGGGAAAAGAGATGGAAACATGAAACTTTTTTTCCAGCACTCTTCGCATTAAAAAATCTTTCTTTCTGGTTTCTTTTTTTCGTTTATTGTCCTTTAGGCTACGAGACAGCTTTTTGATTTGAAACAAGATTTATTAGCTGTCTTTTATTTATTTTATATCTCATCTTATTTTTTTAACGTAATTTATTCCTTTAATGTTGATGGGCTTATGCAAATGCTGGAGTGACTCATTTCATGATTGATTTGTTGTGTTAGTTTTGAGATGTGCTGGGATCTGATATGTTTACCGAGAAGAGCTATGAGATTTAGACGTGGGTATTATACAGTGTTTCTCAAGCCATGCTTTAAGATAAACCATTCTGAAGTCAAACCTTTCAGTGTATAAACTAGCTTGAACTGCTTTTGGACTGTTGATCTCGAAAAGGGGTTTCCTGGAGCACATAAAGCCTCTAATGATCTGTTGTACCATCCGAAGTCCCCTATGCTAGAATTCCAATATCCTTAATAAAGCCAATAATGTCCTGATAATGCTGCTTATTTATATCCTCATCATTCAAATAGTCCTCATCAAAATGCTTGACACTGGACTTGGAACTAACCCCTTGGAAGATCCGACACTGGTTTAAATTCTAATCAGCATTTAAGTAATTAAATAAAGATCTTAACTTAATTATTTCCAAAATTGTCCCAAGAAGTGCAGACAGTTTCGAAAGTTTGAGAAAATAAGCTCCATAAGCCCTGGCTAAACTCCTGCAAGTGGTTCATCATTATTACAAAGTCGCTAAATTAACATCAAAACGGATAGAAAGACTTTTGAGTTCTTTTACATATTTCTTGAATAAATGACTTTAACCCAGAGTTGCGATACAGGTCGCCTGTCAAAGGTACAGCTCTGTCACAGATCTTTTATATCTGTGGGTAGATTTGACAGATCTGTGTCTGTAAAAGATCATTGACAGATCTGTGTCTGTGACTGATCTGTGTCTGTGACAGATCATTGACAGATCTGTGTCTGTGACTGATCTGTGTCTGTGACAGATCATTGACAGATCTATGTCTGTGAAAGATCATTGACAGATCTGTGTCTGTGACAGATCATTGACAGATCTGTGTCTGTGACTGATCTGTGTCTGTGACAGATCATTGATAGATCTGTGTCTGTGACAGATCATTGACAGATCTGTGTCTGTGACAGATCATTGACAGATCTGTGTCTGTGACTGATCTGTGTCCTTGACTGATCTGTGTCTGTGACAGATCATTTACAGATTTGTGTCTGTGACTGATCTGTGTCTGTGACAGATCATTGATAGATCTGTGTCTGTGACAGATCATTGACAGATCTGTGTCTGTGACATATCATTGACAGATCTGTGTCTGTGACTGATCTGTGTCCTTGACTGATCTGTGTCTGTGACAGATCATTTACAGATTTGTGTCTGTGACTGATCTGTGTCTGTGACAGATCATTGATAGATCTGTGTCTGTGACAGATCATTGACAGATCTGTGTCTGTGACAGATCATTGACAGATCTGTGTCTGTGACTGATCTGTGTTCTTGACTGATCTGTGTCTGTGACAGATCTGTCTTTGTGACAAATCATTGACAGATTTGTGTCTGTGACAGGTAAGTGACAGATCACAACTCTGCTTTAGCCACACTAGCTATTTGGTGCTTTCGAATCCAAGTGACATTATTCTTATACCCCCACATCAATATCTCAAAGTCCAGACTAAGAAAAATTCTTATAACCGACAAAAGAAAAAAAAAAATCACCAAATTAAAAGATTCTTTAAAGATAGCATTTACTGCAATAAATATTCCCATTTATGTCTTAATATTTAGAGCTGCATCATGTCTTGTTTATCTTAAAATAATGAACAGCTAAATAGTTCGTAGGCGTTTGTTATTCGAGGTCTCATAAACATTAAGTTATTAGTATAAATGTGTAGCTTCTGTTCAAGATCTTGACAACTTGTTAAGCCACTTAAAGACATTACTATGCATGGCCACATATGTTGAAAAAATTGGTTACTAAAATTAGATCCTAAGTTCCCAAAAATTAAGTGCTAATATCCACCAAGAAAGTGCGTGAATTACCAAACGATACAAAAAAAGATTCCATTAAATTTCAAAGAAGAACAATTTGGTTACGGGCATAAAAAATTGAACTTTAGCTGTTCTTCACTCTCTCGTTGCTGTTGCGAAATTCACAAAAAAAATGTTAAAAAGTTATATTGCGTATACAAATAATAATATTATGTCTTAAATTTATTTAAAAACATTTTTTTTTATTTCTTCCGGGTGGAATAAATGAGATTGTATCCACCTTTAAACTTTTTTTTTTTTCATTCCTTATCGTTTGCATCGCTCTTCCTTTCCTGTTCGACTCTCCCCCATGATTTTCGGTACGAGTCGTTGTATATCATTATTCGAGATATTCCATATACATTTTTATGCATACATGAACGATGCTTAAGGACTTGTTGGATGTACACATTAATTTTATGCTAACAAAAAATTTTTTTTTTTCTCATTTTTATTTCTAACCCAAAGGCGAAAATGTGATATTGAACCGAGAGACAGAGATAGAGATAGCAAAAGCGTTATGGAGCCCAGGGATTTATCATCGAGTGCTAGATTGTTTCCAAACGCTCAAATTAAAATAAGGTAGGTGGAATGGATAGATGAGAAATGAAGAATAAATTTATGGATTAAGTTTGTATAGGGCACTGCTATTAATGCCTTCAAGTTATTTTCGTCAAATAATGACAAATCTTACCTTTTTTATTTCTTCTTTATTGGATATTTGTAGCACTTCACCCACAACATCACCGACGTCAAATTCTTCATCACCCACACCCGCAAATTCTGGATCATCACCTGTGGGAAATCAAGGATTATCGTCGACAGCTCCAGGCTGTCTTCATACGAAACCAATTACAGGAATTCCATGCGTTGCTGCTGCCAGTCGATATACAGCACCAGTTCATATTGATGTGGGTGGCACAATCTATACGTCGTCATTGGAAACATTAACCAAGTAAGATTGTCTTTTTTTGTGGCATGCGATCACGCAAACGGGGTTTATGAGTATTAATTTTAAGTGCTTTGATAATTTGTTGAGTCAGTGATGGGAAACCTGTGTGTCACGATATAATGATGATTCCTTATATGCTATTTAGGTATGACGCGATGTTTCTAGACATTTAATTGTGTTGTGACATATAACAGCTTTCAGAACCACTGAGTTAAATGCTCAAGATTAGCAGAATGTCTATGAACAGGCACAGGTTGATGCTTAGTGTTTTTTCTGAAGATGTGTCAGTTTCTAGTAGTGCACTAGTATGAATAATTCCTGTCATATTGACAACATTTGATGTAATAATTGATAATCAGCCAATGCTAGGAATCGAACGCACATCTGAGTGTTATTTAAGTTTCTAATCTATTGAATTAAAATTTGCTAATAAAGACCTTGCTTTCGTTTTGACAGATTCATCAACATAAAGCTTGATATCTCAATAATGTTAAATTTAATGTTCAAGATTAGCTGATGGTCAAATAATTTTTTTTCCCAGGATATAGGTGATTATCTATTTTATTTACCTGAACAACAGTACTGTTCATATTTAACAAGCTCACTTGTCAAACTCAACCTTGATCTTCAAAATAATCAGAGAAAGCATAAAAATTACAGAAGTCCTCGTGTTATTGATCGAGGGACTTAAGCGCATTTTTGTGTTAGCGATCAGTATTTGATTATGTAATTATTTTGCGTTCATTTACAGATCATGAGAAGATTAGAAGATCATTAATTTTAGTGTAATTAACAAAAAGTTACAATGAATGCTTATATAGAAAGGATTATTATTTAACGGTCAATAAATAATTTGAAATTTTGCCGTTAAAAGTTGCACTACGAAAATATTAATTATAGTATAATTAAACAATTTGTTGCAATAAATTTCCATACAGAAAGGGTTTATCATTTAACGGTTTTTTTGTAATTCAAATTTTCTAAAGGTCAATAAATAATTTGAAATTTTCCCGCTATAAGTTGCACTACGAAAAAATTAATTATAGTATAATTAAATAATTTGTTGCAATGAATTTCCATACAGAAAGGATTTATCATTTAACGGTTTTTTTTAATTCAAATTTTCTAACGGTCAGTAAATAATTTGAAATTTTCCCGCTATAAGTTGCACTACGAAAAAATTAATTATAGTATAATTAAATAATTTGTTGCAATGAATTTCCATACAGAAAGGATTTATCATTTAACGATTTTTTGTAATTCAAATTTTCTAACGGTCAGTAAATAATTTGAAATTTTCCCGCTATAAGTTGCACTACGAAAAAATTAATTATAGTATAATTAAATAATTTGTTGCAATGAATTTCCATACAGAAAGGATTTATCATTTAACGATTTTTTGTAATTCAAATTTTCTAACGGTCAGTAAATAATTTGAAATTTTGCCGTTAAAAGTTGCACTACGAAAAAATTAATTATAGTATAATTAAACAATTTGTTGCAATGAATTTCCATACAGAAAGGGTTTATCATTTAACGGTTTTTTGTAATTCAAATTTTCTAACGGTCAATATAATAATAATTTGAAATTTTCCCGCTATAAGTTGCACTACGAAAAAATTAATTATAGTGTAATTAAATAATTTGTTGCAATGAATTTCCATACAGAAAGGATTTATCATTTAACGATTTTTTGTAATTCAAATTTTCTAACGGTCAGTAAATAATTTGAAATTTTGCCGTTAAAAGTTGCACTACGAAAAAATTAATTATAGTATAATTAAACAATTTGTTGCAATGAATTTCCATACAGAAAGAGTTTATCATTTAACGGTTTCTTGTAATTCAAATTTTCTAACGGTCAATATAATAATAATTTGAAATTTTCCCGCTATAAGTTGCACTACGAAAAAATTAATTATAGTATAATTAAATAATTTGTTGCAATGAATTTTCATACAGAAAGGGTTTATCATTTAACATTTTTTTGTAATTCAAATTTTCTAACGGTCAATAAATAGTTTGAAATTTTCCCGCTATAAGTTGCACTACGAAAAAATTAATTATAGTATAATTAAATAATTTGTTCCAATGAATTTCCATACAAAAAAAGTTTATCATTTAACGGTTTTTTGAAATTCAAATTTTACAACGGCTAGAAATTTTTTGAAATTATAGAGGTAATATTGAAATTATAGAGGTAAAATAAAATTTGAGCAGGTTACACTGAAAACAAAACAAAAATTCATTAATTATAGCATAAATACACTGTTTTAAGATTTTTAAATGTCCGGCGGGCCAATAACTCGATATAACGGAACTAATGCAAAAAACTAGAACTCTCTACGATGTCTAGATTAAAAGTTTTTCTTAGCGGCCGACCAGCCAGCCGACCAGCCGACCAGCCGACCAAAGTGCGTTATTAAGCTACCTTTTTGAAACAAGTTTCAAAAATGCGCTAAAAAGCTAAGCATACGACAATCAAAATACACATGTTAAATTAATCTCAAGGTAGCATGTTAAAGATATATCCACAGAGGTGTCTTAAGCACTTAAGTGTCTATCATATTCACACTAAATTATATTAGTGGGTCGTTCATAAATTACGTCACGCAAATTTGTGTGGAGAACAATAATTTTTATCTTTGAACTGTCATAAATTCTTATTCCCCCTTCTACCCTAAAGTGTGACGCATTTTAAATGATGTCTGGTTTTTGACAAAGGGGAGGGGGTCGGTTGCAGTGTACAAAAGGTATTCAAAATTTGAAAAATTGACGACTGTTGAAAATTTGATAAGGGATCGTTCACTAATGACGTTCGGGGAGGGGGGGGGGTTTCTATGATTTTGTAAGAGCTTAAACAAAGGAATTGTTTTTTCATATAAGTTTTGTGGCAAGAGGGGGGGGGGGGGAGGGGCGATGAGGTATTGAAAAACATGTTTTTGATGGACGTCATAAGTGAATGTCCTCTAAACGTAATTTATGAACGACCCCCTAGCTGCCGTGGCTTTAGATTTTCATTTCTACCACTCAAATAGTTGAAATTTCTGAACAACTTAATTAAGAAGACATGCAATCGGTCTATAAACTCATTTGTCTATGCACGAATCCTCATAAACCCTTTGAGTAATAAAGAAGTAATGTACCTTGACTTTATCGAATGACATTTTAAAAAGTAATTGAAATAAAATAGATAGTAATAATCATTATCATTAACCATTAGATATCCAGACTCACGGCTTGCAAAACTTTTTAATGGCAGCATTCCAATCGTCTTAGACTCATTGAAGCAGCATTATTTTATCGATCGAGATGGCAACATGTTCCGACACATATTAAATTTTATGAGAAATTCCCGGCTACTGATATCAGAGGACTTTAGTGATCTCGAATTGCTGTTAGAAGAAGCCAAATATTTTGAAATTGCTCGTAAGTTTCTCATACTCTACATTTTTATTATCCAATTGATATTTGCATAAAGACATCTTTTTTCAAATGTCTCAGACCAAATAAAAAAATTAAAAATTCAAATTTACTCAATCTCAAGTTTATATCTAGTCTACAAAGCTACTTCTTCTTTAACCACGTATTTTATTTACTTTATATTTCTATATACAGCAATGGTCCGACAAATTGAGCAAATGAAACGAGATCGATTGAAAAATGGATTGAAGACAATGGCAGCAACATCATCATCAAGATCACCATCGCCAAGTCGAACGAAACCGACATCAAATAATAATAAAATCACACATAATGATACATTTGAGGTTGTCGCACTGCAAATTTCACCAGATTTAGGCGAGCGCATTCTCATGTCATCAGAACGAAATGTATTGGATGAGATATTTCCCGAGACAAATCAAGCGATTCTTGATGCACGATCAGGTGTTGCATGGAATCAATTTGAAGGTCGTCAAGTCATTCGATTCCCGTTAAATGGTTATTGTAAATTGAATTCCATCCAAGTCATTACTCGATTACTTAATAGTGGATTTTGTCTTGAGGCATCCACTGGCTACTCGAGTGGCGTTGAGAATCAACAATTTTCTGAATATCTTTTCGTTAGAAAAGTGAATCGTAATGATAATAATAATAATAGTAATAATAATTAGTCGTACTTAATTGAAATTGTATAAGAAAAAGTCATGATAAATTAATTTCGTTGTCGAGGGGGGTCAATGTTGGAGGGGGGGAGGGTAATTGTTTTTGAATTTATTCTAAGTCATGGTCAACTTTTGACATTATATATGGCACTGAAAGGGTTTAAATACTGCTACTTGACTAGAAGTTGCCATGCCATCGTAAGCTGGAAGCTAAGGAACCTATAAGGTAGCAACAATTCTTCCAGATAGTATTTTGAACCTTTAAGAGGGTTCTAAAAGTTTTAAAACTCTCTTGAACCCTTCTTGGCTTCACACATTGAAAGAACATTCATGACGTCATCATAGTAGCTAGTAAACTCTTAAGTTTGAGATTTTGTCACTAGTTCCATGCTAAACTTGAAGTCTAGACTAAAAATTCATCAACAAAGTGTGCCGAGAATCAATATCATTCTAACTCTTAAGTAGACTACTCAAGAATCCCATCCAAACTCTTCTGAGAAAATATCTTCAACTTCCAATATTGACCAACCTTGCGAGAAGATGGAAAAAGCATTTTTTTAAAATAAAAAGATTCCAGTGAATTGTTTCCATCTTTAAATAAAGGCAAACATTTTTATTGTCCATTCTCATGATGAAATTATCGTCATGTGCAAGCAAAAGGAAGATTTCTTTCCGCTTTAAAATTGTTTTTTATTACAAATTGTATGAAGAAGTGATCAATGATCTATAAAATTAACACAAAAGCATCATAAACAGATGCGACAAGAAGAAGATTTTTAAAAGTTCATCGTCATTCATTCGTAAACATTGAGATGATACAAAGCGACAGTGAATTATAGTTGAGTGTCTTTGGATGTTTTGTTGGGAAGGTTGATTTTATGGTTTGTGGCTGGAACGCATTTTTATGGAATCTGGAAAGAGAAATCATATTTTAAATTTCAATTTTTGGCACGGAAGTTTTGAATTTTTGACAATCAAATTTTGAGTTTTTTACCGTTAAATTTTGAATTTTTAAATTATGACAGTTGAATTTTTGAATTTTTGACACTTGAATTTTGAATTTTTGACAGTTAAATTTTGTATTTTTGAAAGTTCAATTGTGAATTTTTTACAGTTAAATTTTGAACGTTGACAGTCAAATTTTGATTTTTTGACAGTCAAATTTTGAACTTTTGAATTTATGACACTTGAATTTTGAATTTTTGACAGTTAAATTTTGTATTTTTGACAGTTCAATTTTGAATTTTTGACAGTTAAATTTTGAACTTTTGACAGTTAAATTTTGAATTTCGTCAATTCAAACATAAATTACCCAAACTGCTCAATCCAGAAACATTCATCAATACCCCGAACTAAATCATCCGATCAAAATTGATGAAATATCTTCAGATTATTGAAACGTATCAAAACTCGGCATTTTGTTCAACTCAATGTTTGATACAATAATTTTTATTGTCATCAAATCTCTTTCATGGCTTTTTATTGACTCGATACCAAAATTGAGCTATCGTAAAAGGAAGTCGGTAAGTGTTTGAGTTGGCTTACGTTTAAAATCAAAAAAATTGAAAATCATTGTTATTTTAGGTTATGAAATTTTTGTGTAAACAAGTGATTGTCTAGCATGTAGAGAAAGGCAGACACAGTGACTCTGTTGAAAAAAACTTTGTGTTTGAAGAGGTCTTGAATGATTTTTTTGGGATTTATTGAAAGTTTGACGGTTTATTGGCTATAGCCATGCTTAATTTTGTAAGTGTATCTAGATTTGTTTAGATTACATAGTAGAAATCGTCAACATGCTATATAGTTATTGGGAACCAAACTAGGGCATAAAATTGTCGGTATATCATTTACAGCAGTGTTGTCCAAACTTTTTGAGCCACGTCACACTTTTGAGGTAAGATATGACCACAGCTGAACACAGCATGCAGTTAGTGTAATTTTCAAAAACTTCCCTCAGCACACAGTTTGGACAGCACTGATTTACAGCATATATCACCCCTCTTAAATATTAACGGGAGGTTTGTGAGGCAGATGTTGTTATTCAAATGTTTTTTTTCGAACAAAAATTAATTTTCGAAGATGAGACCAAGACTATTAAGCTAGCCCTAGTATGATAAAAAATTTGGATATCCTCATTGTATCAAAAATCATCTATTTTCATCAAAAAGTGCAAAAGAGAAAACGAATAACCACGTGATTCATTAATTTTTGATTACAAAGATTCGAACTTCATCCTTTTTCATGATTTAAATATATTTTTCAATCAATAATATAATTCCATATTAACATTTTGGCTTATTCCACTCCATATTCATGACAATCATCTCAACAACGAAGACACTCAACTTCAATTATTATATCATCTTAAAGAAGATTTTAAAGAAACTATTTCACAAAAAAAAAGACAAGAGATATTTATGGTAGGATTTCATAAGTAGATTCATAATTCGTCCTCACTTCCCTCTTTTTATACCAAGTATACTTATCTTTGCTCATCCAAAATGTTTCAATGATTTCGTTTTGGTCATCAAATGCGATGTTTCTTTATTCATTATTTAATTATTGTATAAATATATAAAAAGAGTTTTTGAAGATCATCTTTATACCTTAATATTATCAATGATCATGTTTATTATTAATTAGTGTGTAATGTAGTCGAGACTATGGAACAGAAAGGAAAATAATAATAAAGAAGACACAAAAAAAATAAATCACATAAAATGAGACACAAATAAATTCGGATTTTTTTTTTCATTTTATTTTATTTATCACAAATGATACAAATATACATTTTTTTATTTAATTTAATTTGATGAATATATTAAAAGGTTGTTTGGTCAGCCAATACTTGTTTCCATATTTGACTGACTTTGGTTTAGTAGAAATAAAATTAAGTCATTCCAAAGAATAAATTGCAAATGCTTTTTAATGTGTCATGAAGGCTTTATCGGATGTATGGACAGTCTTTCAAGGTAATTAATTTGGATTTCAATGCAAATAATTTTTTTTCGTGATTTTTTTGCAGGAATTTATTTTTTTGAATTTTTTATAAAATTGGAAAATAAAAAAATTAAATTTTGAAATAAAAAATCCGTTAGAATTTGAAATTAAATAATCTTTTAATAATCTGTTTGAATTTGAATTTTAAAATTCCGTTAAAACTCAAAATATGAAAAAATAATTTGTATTCAAATTAATTTCAATTTTCTGACATTTTTTAAGACACCATTCTTAGTAATTTTCCCATAACTCGGTTAAAAAGATCAAGTTCCATAACAAATGAATATAAATTAAATTTATCAAGCAGCTGATTTTCACATAAATAAAAGCTTGTCCACACTTCTGATTTCTTTATGTTTCTATATCTGCTGAGTAAAAATTTAAAATTCATGTTTCTGTCTCGAGTTTCTTGCTGTGATTTTTCATCTAATTTAATAGCCGACCTATTGTTTATTGGAATTCGCTAACGTCATTTTTATGACTCTAGAAACACGTGTCTTTTACCCACTTGTTCCACAAAAATTAAGTTTAACTGCTAAATGTCAAATTTGTTATCCAAATTCTTAATTACTGATTGTTATAAATTATTTCAATAAATCACGCTGAGTTTTTCATTTAAATTCATCAATCTTTTCTTCATTAATTGGCTCATTTGTTCAGCATAAAAAATATCACAACTCAGCCATTAAATTCTTTATGTGCTTTATATCGATTTTAAATGCAATATTAAAATTAAACACAATCGATTTTATTGCACTTAAATGTCATGGTATGTTTAAAATGATGTTTGTGGTGATTATGCCGACTTTTTAGAATTTTTTTATCAATCACTGTGGTTTATTGGCCTAGCTAGGGATGTATGATTAGGTCCAGACCCCCTCCTTCTACCCAAATAATTTTTAAAAATAAATCCTACATTCCTGACTTCAATCCTGCTTTAATTCAACACATCAATAACCAACTGGATCAATTTGGCATTTTCAGATCTAAACATCTTCAAAATTTATTATCACTGGACTTTTCGAAAGTTGCTTTACCATTTTTAAGGCAATAAAATCAGAATTGCTCCAGAGATTATTTATCTGATTGATGTTCCTTTCAAATATCATTGAATCTGTGTGGAAGTGAATTTTTATTTGCGCATGCAAAACATTCATATTCTGTCACTATGTCAGTCGATGATTTATGGACGATCTTGAATATAAAAGTATGTATCAAATTCAAATTGGAATTTTTTTAATATTTCAGCAATAAAAAGATTTACTTTGATTTTTTTTGGAAGGTAAGAAGTCGAAAAAAGCTATGCTAAACAAATTCGTTTTTAATTTGTTGCTACTTATGAGATATTAAGTTTCAATTTGCTTCTTCTATGACGTTTTGCATTTTGGGGGGTCTTTTTTCCATGAACATTTTGTAACAGAAAGGGGAGGGGAGGGGGGCGTAGTTAAAAAAATCATGTTTTTTTTTTATGATTTTTCACTTATGACGTCCAGGGGGGGGGGGGGGGTCAACAAGAAAAGAACAATAGAAATTCTTGGAAATCTATTATTTTTTTTTAAAAGTAACCGTTAATTTTGGACGTCATAAATGAACGACCCCAAAAATTTTTTGAAAAAATTTCAGCCTGAACAAATGATGTGGTTGGATGTTTGTTTTTGACAATGTTATTCCGGATTTCAATTAAGTATGAAATATTTTCATAATATCCTTGATATTATTGGATAGCTTCTACAATAATATTTTTACTTTTCAAATTTATTGATTAATTGTTGAGGAAATGGCTCAATTTAAATATTTTGGTTTGTGGTCAGCAATCTCTGACTAAGATCAAATTAAGGTCTTTTTTCTTTTTTGCTGTGATTCTTGAAGGGGGTCATTGATTGCCATTTTAACAAACGATTCCAGATTAACAACAAGAATCTTTTTTAAATAAAATAAATTTGTACAGTTTTTAACGACCTCAGTCATTTCTTGTCAGCCTATCAGCTAACTACATACTTAAGCTTTATTGATGAGAATCTTAAAACAACCCAGTGATTGTCAACCCATGTGACGCGGTCCAGTAGTATGAAAAAAATTTGGGAGGAATCCTACGAAATGTGATTTACCACTAAGATGTACCGTGGCACAAAAAAAGGTTGGCCACAACTGCGTTATTTCATGTTAGAAGTCGATATGTTCTTTGTATTACGTTTGAACCGACTTAACTCAATTTTTCTATAAAAAAAATTTGCAAAATAAACCTAGAAAGAGCTTTGCTTCAGCTTTTGTAGAAACTTAAAAATTAATGTTGATCAAAAAAATTCTCAAAAATTTCATTCTAAAATCCGGAGATATTAATTTATTTTTGGGGGTCGTTCACTTATGACGTCCGAAATTTACCGTCATTTTTCAGAAAAGAACAATGAATTTCCAAGAATTTCTATTGTTTTTTCTTGCGCCCCCCCTTCCCCCCTGGACGTCCTAAGTGAACGGCTCCTTGCCACAACTCTGTTCTTGATTTCACGCGAATTTTAGATAAATATTTGAAAAAATCTTTCTGATCCATGTCTTCGCATATCCAAAAAATGATATCATTAAAATTTATTAAAATAATTAAAACCATTTTATATTGCAGATTTGCATTTTAAGTAATAAATAATTTTTAAGTGACATGATTGCTCATTCTCAAAAAGCTATCAAATTAAAACGTTTCAAAATCCCCCCAAAGAAATATGAATTATAATTTTTTAAGGCTCATTAAATTTTTTTTATTCGTGATCATCTCATATTTCATGTTTCATCCATTCCCGCATATCTAGCAATGAGATTGGATTTTATTGATTACAGTCCACACTTCCGTAAGTTATGCTGGTGCTTCTATAGTTCCCATGGAATATTTATAAAGAATGCGAGGCAATTTTTAACCCTTAATGACTTCAAGGAAGTTTGAAATTAATCGCAGCTTGTCGCTAAATTTTTACGTGAGTTTAATTGGATCGGCTTGAATGCATTTATTTAATTTGAATTTCTTTTTGAATCTAGTGTTTAGGAATTTTATCAAAATACAAGTTTTTAGAGTCATTTTACAATTTAACATGATATCTAATCTACCAAACGTCCTAGAAGAAGACTAGTGATATTTAAGACGTTTATTATGAATTTTTGAATTTCTTTGGTATTGATCTTGTTTGGATGACAAAAATCTATTAACGATGATAATTTTTGGAATTGCCGGTGTAGTGGGAACTTGAGAATTTTCTATAAATATCATTAAATATCAAAATTGACTCTCAGCATTGATAATGGTGTAGTTAATCTTATGCTGGAAGATAACAGAGGGCCTAAAGGTTTGTGTGACCAAAAACCCCATAGCCTCATCCGCCTGGGTTTAATCAGGAATTTTTCTATTAAACGAGGAACCATGAAACACCTTCTGGGGCTGGTTCTAAGACTTACTGGGACTCCCTACCTTAAAATAGAAAATCAATGTTCCACAAATTGAGGAATAATTAATATTTCACTGTCACTAGCGTTGATCCCTTAGGTAGCCCAAGCAACCAACCCCACACCAATTCAACAATATCCAATAATCATCAAAAACATCAACATCAAATCTACAATCTCTTCTTGAACAACACACAAAAAACATCTCAATATCAATTAAAACAACAAAAGACATGACGTTATCCGAAAGATCACAATGTCAAAAATCAATAAAAATCGCACCAACAAATGACCAATAAACATCTAACAAAAGCCGATAAAGATGCGAACAGGGGCCACCTTTATAGTTGTAATTCCTTTCTAATCGATAATAATTCACACTATTGATTAGCTTCATTAATATTAGTTGTTAAGTTGCTGTGAAATTCCGTTGGGGTCATTCACTTTGTGACGTCATTAGCAGAGTCACATAAGAAATGGGCAAAGTTTTATGCAGCTTTGTACAGATCCAACGCCCGTTTTGCTATGCTGCAATGTGACTCTGAAGCTAAGGGGTCATTCACTTATGATGTCCGTCAAAAAACATGATTTTTAGACCCCCTCCCCATTGTCACAAAATTTATATGGAAAACAAGTTCCTTTGATTTACTTGTCACCAGGCGCGTAACCAGGGGGGGAGGGGGATTCCCCCAAAGTAAACAGCATTTTCTTTATTTTGCTAGGGTTTTTATGAAAAAATCACAAAAATCCCCCCACCATTAAATTTTTCCATACAAAATTTTTTTTGTCCCCAAATTCCTGGCTACGCCCCTGCTTGTCAAATCTGCCAATACTAGACCCTCTCCCTTCTTAAATCTCGGACGTCATAAGCAAACGATCCTTAAGTTAGATTTATAATCAATTTTTTGAGACCCATCAGTCAAAAGGGGGTCCAAAAAAATAAAACCTTCTTATTGACGTCATTTCCAAACGATTCCACACCGACTAAATTTCATTTGCCATAGAAACACACAGAAAATTAGAATAATAATTTAATAGACAGCAATTTTTCACAATTTTAAAATCCTATTTGGAGATGACTTAAACCTTTTATTTTTACCATTAATATACATACAAAAAAAATCTTCTATATGAGATGTGATGCCGCAGAAATTTGCTTCAATTTTTCTTTACTGGGAATGAAAAAAAGAGACAAAACTTGATTTTGATACAAGAAAAAAAGAAATGATTTGGTTTTTATCGAAATGAACAAAAAGAATTTTTTTTTGTATGATTGCATAACTTTTTTTTTATAATTTTGAATGTCAATGTGATTTTCATGTGATTTAAATGCCTCTATATTTACCACGATCGTCTGCAACATAAGCTCCCGAATTATAATGAACGTAAGTTCCTAAATTTCCTTTTGGTCTATAGAGTCCGTCGTTACCTTTTACTTTATATGATCCATCATCGGATCCTTTATACCTGTATGAACCGTCATCACCTTTAACTCTATAGGAACCATCGTTTAATGAATTTTGAGATGCTCCGCTATCGAAGCTATTTTGGACGAAATTAGTTTTGACAGGTCGCTGTTGAACTGGTGCTATTTTTGGTGCAGCAAATGTTTTTTGTGTCGTCCTCAAAGAAGTCGTTGTTGTTGGTCGTTGTGTTGTTGTTGTTAATTTTTGAGTCGTTGTTGTTGGACGTTGTGTGGTTGTTGTTAATCTTTGAGTTGTTGTTGTTAACCGTTGAGTCGTTGTTGTTGGACGTTGTGTTGCTGCTACTATCTTTAGTGGTGTTAAATCTTGTTCATCGTTTGGTAAAAGTGGCGGCTCAACATCTATCGACGGTATAGAGATAACAGGCTTACTGAATGGTGATGAAGAAGCCGGAAGATCAAGGCCAGGGATTTGATTCGGTAAAAATGGTGGCAATAAATCAACATCGAGTTGTGGTATTCCATTTATAATCTGCTTCCCCGTGGAATCAGTGTAGACAGATTTTGATAACACCTTTCCACTTGAGTCGGTAATGCTTGATGATGCAAACGATTGTCCAAATTGTGGTATCGAATTAGCGTTTTGGATGATGACAAGAGCGACCTTAACACGGCGGAGATGAAATTAAAAAAAAAAAAATGCAGAAAAAAAGAGATGATGATTTAAATGATATAGTTTTGGTTGGATGTCTGTTATTTTGATGAAATTAGATTTATTTGATAGCCCTGGATTAAAAGTGCAATGAAAAAAAAAATCCAATAAACAATAAAACTTATTCCAAATTTATTGGAGTTGCCAGAGTGCAAGGAGGTGACGCCAAAGAAGGGGGATTAATTATGGATAAAATCCTAACCTCAAAAATTTAATTTTCTTCAATTTGATTAATTTGCCAAAAAATTTGTTCTTTGAAACAAAATTCAACACCCCCATGTCCCCCCCCCTCTCCAAGCCCCCCTGAATACAAAATGTCTGGGTCCTTTAAAATGAAATGTTGCATAGCTCGTGAACCTCGTTAAAGATCACGTCCAAGAAGAACCGAAAAAGGACTAGAGGCACTGCCACTTTCTTAACCCTAGCTTTTCCACTGTTCGTACCTTTCACATACTGAAGCTATGTTACCTATTTTAAAAATTTTAATGTGAGAATCAGGGTGAGAATTTTTAATACACATGGAAGAAGGGGGTCAAAAAAATCACAATTTAAGGTTCCACAAAGTTTGATTGATTTTTTTTGCTTAAATTTTAAACAATTTCAAAATCCCATCACATTCAACGAGTCACAATCCTAGTTAAAGTCACAAATCAAATGACCGTCTTTCACATAATTTATCACACACGAGTAAGTAAAACATTGATTTGCTCGATTGCACATTTGCTGATTTATGTAATTTCATCATCATTAATGTTTATTTAACGCCGTTATTCGACCACTACTCACCACTGCAACTTCAATAAACCTCATCATTGTAATGTCTTTTTATTTCTCACTTAATCTTCTTCTTTCAATTTATCTCACTACTTGACTTTATTTTTTTTATTACTATTTTTTTGTTGACTGAAAAGTCGACTTAACGCTTTGAATGCTGAATTAATACTGATGCTGATTGCATGATTTGCAGGCCTCCTAATTCCCAATTCTTTTTCTCTTCTTCTATGCATAGAAGATATAATATTGTGAAACCAGTTTCGCTTGCTTACTGAACTGATATTTCACTTTTATCACCGATACAGAAAAAAAAAATAACTAAGGCAAATGTTGATCGATCCATTAAAATAATCATATTTCTTCTTTCTGTGCTCGACTAAAACGCATGTGTTGGCGATTTAGACGTAAAGTTATTAGATCTCATGTCCTATCGGAAACAGATGATGGAAGAAGAAGAAATGAAGAAGATGTCTTTGAAAAAAGTTTGAATCTGTATCGATGGTTTATTGAGGATGTGGATTAGAGCGCATTTTTGAGGTGTATTTTACGATTTTTTTTGGGAATTCTCAATCAAGAACTTTTGGTGACATGGTTTAGTTTGGGATAACTATGGGTTGTTGTCCTGGTCAACATGCCCCACCCTCCTTGACATTCCAGCTCAGAATTAGATGTGACCTTGACTCATTATCATTGACCTTGGCCTATATTTTGTATTTATATTCTGCTTTTGATACTATTTTTTAAGAATATTAAGGCAGCGTGTGTGAATTCATTAGAATTGGAAATGATCCGCGCTTAAACTTGAATCAAGTCATCAAATAATTAACTGGATATCCCCAGATATCCCGATAACAAATTCACAGCTTCTCAAATTTTACGACAAAAAATCCATAAACCTTTTCTGGAAGATTAATAAGTCTGATTGAAAGTTGAAATTCAATCCGTTTTAAAAAACTCATAATTCCGAGGAATTGTTGAATGTGAACTACTAATTAACAGGATTGAGAAAATATATTATTATATCTAGATCATGACGTAAGGTGACTGGGAATATCAACGACATCTGATACAGCTATTAAGAATTTTTAATTATATTCCGGATTTTAAAAATCTTGATAGGATGAAAGAAATATTTATTTTTTGCCAATTTTTCTTTTTCTGTTGTCCCGTTGGTTTAGTTTTTGGGATGAAGTGACTGTTTTTATTACCAAAAAGGTCTGTTGAGTGAATTAATTTATGGCTGCATATTTTATCTATCTGTATGACGAAACAATATGTTTAAGATTTTTGAAGATACTACGTCATTGTGTATAACATCCTAGTGACGTAAATTCTCAAGAATTGAAAGTTTTTGGGAAAATTCTAAGTTTATTTTTGGTGATCTCGTTGACTATAAAAAGGGATTTAACAGTTAAGTCATTCATTTACGTCATACTACTCTCAGATATGTCAGAACATAAATTAATGCTTGATATATCATTGTTATGCCTGAATAAAATAGATTTCCTGTGGAAAATCACTTTAATAAAGAAAAGAATTCGCAAGAATAGCCAAAATGCTGGATACTAGGTCCCGGGTTTCAATCCAGACTTGTTCTATTTCTGAATCCTTTCCTAGGGCCTTGCAGGAAACCTTAAAAGTGAAATGTGTAGTTCAAAATTGTGGTTTATATAAAATTAGATTGTGACTAGGATAGCCCTGGCCTACTAATCTAGGAGAGCAGTGTCAAACCTTTTTTTTACCACGGCACACAGGCGCGTAGCCAGGGGGGGGGGGGGGGGGATTTGCGCGACAAATCCTCCAACGTAAACAGAAATTTCTTTATTTATTTTCTTTATTTAAAAAAACAGCTCCAGCAGCACGTGAGTAAATAAGTATTTATTCATTCTTCCGTCCAAATATTTTTTAAAAATGATAATTAATTACTAAGCGTCTACTTCCACTTGAGAATATTTAAAGAGACAAATATCCGCCAAGAGGATGCAAAAGACTTAAGAACGTGAATTGTGTCATGTGTGAACGCTGAAATTTTTTTATTGATGTTTTGCATAATTTTTATAAACAGCTAATGTCGATACAGGTTTTTTGGATGCAAGAAGTCAACGGATAATTTTATAGTAATTAAATGTATCTTGTAGATTTAAAGATTATTGACTTGGATAGGAAATTTGATCTGATTGTGTGTTATGAGGCAGGGATGAGGTTAGAAAATGATTGAATTAGAGATCCGAAGTCTAGAGATTGGTCTGGAATGTACAGTCATACAAAAATGCAATCTTGAAGAAGGGTCCAGTCAACATTCGAGCCCTTCCAAATTACACTCATTTTTAAGCATTTTCGGAAGCAGGAAATCAAGAATAAATTAACTTTTTACTAAACCAATCTCAGTTTATAAAGACATTCAGCTCATAAACTCTTTCAAAACAGCCAATAAATGAACACAATACATGAATACACACCGTTGACAGCTAGACAAACAATCGTCAATTGTTTCACTCCCATTGTAAAAATGTTTTTGGAAAAAAAATTTATTTGATTTTATTGCCCAGCAATATCTTAGTTTTTGTGAATAGAAACGAGTAGAGGAGCAGCCGTCTGCTCTGTTGAGCAAATCAGTTCACATTTTTTTATTTCAATGCGAAAAAACAAAAAATTTTTATTGACCAAAAAATTAGGTCCCAAAAATAAAAATTAAATCATTTGCATATCTCAGTGAGATCACATCCAGACAAATGAATTGTTTGCATTAAGAAGTCACAGAATGATTTATTGATTCTAAGCTAATCGTGTTAGCAAATGAGACTAGAACGCTTTATGGTCATTAATTTCCTTTTGCTTTGATAAACCGATGAGATATTTTTTGAGTTAATGACTGTGATGATTGCCATCAATGATGATATTTGAATATTTTTTCAAACGATCTTCTTTGAGCTTTTAAAGCTTAAGTTGTGCTTTGAAAGCTTCTTTGAGCTTTGAAAGTTTTATTTATAAGCTTTTGTAATGAAATGAAAACTGCAAGGCTACACAGCAAAAAAAAATCATGTTAAACTCGTTAAAGCTTTTCTTCTTGATCTTATTGACATAAATTCCCTCTGACTCTCAAGAGAATTTTACGAGGGTATACACGACTTTTCAGATCGAAAAAAAAATGTGTCTTCTTCTTTTAGGGTTCTTGAACCGGATAAGAAATAACAGAACAAGACGAACACGAAGAGAACCCGCATCGATGAGTTCAAACTTTTTTTTTTATTTTTATTTCTATTGATGAAAATCGTAAAATTATGTAAATTAATGAACTCAAGATTTCGGAGAATGAGGTCTGATCATGTAAGTTAATTTATTTATTGAACACGCGAATTAAATAATGACATGCAGGAATTGAGCATGCAATTTTTTTTTGGTATATTTTGGTTTTTTGTAATGCAAAAGAGAGTGGTGAAATGGGTTCAGTTGTGTATATGGTAGAGCGTTGGTCTTATGTGCTGAAGGTCCTGGGTTCGATCCTAGGCAAAGTCAAGATTTATATTCGATTAACCGACTCATGCCGACTTAACCGATTTTGTCAAACTTAGATTAGAATACAAGACAAAATCTACCTGCTGCAAGTTATGACGCAAATCCAACGGTATTTCCGGAAATTTTCTTCATTTCTTCAACCTTAAGATCCGGGAATTTTGCATATTTTGATGATTCTTTGCAAACGTAGCTTAATAATGCATAACCATGACATAGTATCTTATAAAGAATATTTCAACAGAAACTCATCCCAACTTATAGCCAGTTCAACATCAAAACTAATCACCGACATCATTCAATCAAATTAGCCATCGAAATACTTTAAATCTCGTCATTTATCATTTCAAGATTCCGAATTCCATTCTTAACCAAACATAAGCATGTCCAAAAATTTATTTTCGGAATTTTTAATTTCTTCTAATTCGTGAGAAATTCATCTTATCTTCCGCAATACACATTTATTTATTTTCTTAATAAGTCAGCATTCAGACATTAAAACCAACACTTTTTTTTGCATCAAAATACATTCAGGATCTTCCATAGCTCACAAGAACTATAAAAGTTTTTATTGAAAATTAATTCTTTGCTAAATGGAATTGCAAAATCATTTGTCAAGTTGCGAATCTACTCGATATAAAATCATCAGGTCAACAAATATTTTTCTTAATGAATTTAAAATGATTTCCGGATGATTGTTAAGCTTGTGCCACACAACACGTTTTATCCTTTGACGCTTTCTATAGATTTAGTTTATAGACATTATAAATGGCAATAATTATGTCGTCCTGTGATGAAATTGCTCATTAATCACTCGATATTGCAACATAAACGTTTGAGAGTAATAAAATAAAATTTTGGAGTCAGAGTTTTGTGCGTAAGATTGTTGAGTTAGGGGATTTTTTAAATGACGTGTTTGAGTTTCGAAGCTTGAGATTGCTGTTATCATGCGTCATCAAAAACCTCCTTGATTAAAAATTCAATGATTCACTGTTGTCAAGAGCATTATTCTTGGCAGTATAACTTATGAACTTACTTTAAAGGTTCGGATTCCATTACAATCAATGATATTTTATTCAATTGAGAACAAATTAGTTCAAATGGATTAGAATAAGTTGCCAAACAAGAGATTTAAGCGTCAAAGTACTTTGCGTACTATGAACTAGATTCTTGAAGAAAGGGGCATAGCTAGGTGAATCTTGTTCCACTTAAAAGTTTTGAACCAAAGCGAGAGCACAGCCTGGCTAAGCCTCTGCTTCAAGACACCTAGAAAACTATCATAGACTCTGCTAGCATCATCAATATTAAGACCTAATTTTCAGATTCGAAAACTTAATTTTTATACTACACCCCTCGTCGCAAACAACTTCACAGTCTTAAGTTGACTCGTCTATTCAGGCAGAGAATTTAGAACCAATCAAAAATGTCATGTACAAATTTATCTAAATCTGAATAAAATATTCCAAACCCCATTTAAAAATAAGTTATTGCAAAAAAGACCATCCAACTCGTCCTCCAGCTTCTCA